CAAAAGTACCCCCTTCTGTATTAGCCTTGCTTTCATTAATCTTCTTGCCATCTTCTTTAACTAGTCATGCAGAACCGCTCGATAGCAAGACGTATAATGGGGAAGGCCCTGTGCCTATTACCACGTTAACATTCTCTTAAGCCCCAGTGCAACAATGGAATGGGAAGGCAGAGGAAATCTGCAACTGCAGGGTGCAGAGCAGGCAATTCAATTACAGCCGGGGCTTACCTATGTACTTCTGACCTATAAAACACAAGAGGCCTTTGTGTCTAACTGGCTCGGCCATTAAGGTTGCTAAAGATCACAACAATGCTGATCTTTTCTATTTAAGCTAAATCAATGTGGACAAATCATTATTCAGTAGCTTTAATTTAATTAGTAAATTAAATACACTACTTTACAGATTTTGTCAAGTACTTATGAAAAGAGAGATTCACTGAAACAGGAGGTCACCAAGAAGCCCAGGTAGCTTAAGTCATAACCTCCGCTGAATCTCACCCCAAATATCCAGTAGGTTCCACTCACCAGGGTTGAACAGTGAATCCTGAGGGGTTTCTACCCTAGATCCAAACTGTTTTGAACAAAAAAATAAACAATCCCCACTACATAGCCAGCATCAACAGAATCAGATTTCCTTTAGATTATAATATTGCGAGAATATAATCAGATTACCTCTGTTGTGTTGCTTCCTTAAGGTTTTATATTATCTATACTTAATTGAGATACAGAGCTCTTTTCAGCTATAAAGACGACAGCTACTTTATTAAGGTTTAAATCTGATTTCTTAATGGCAGACTGCTTCCTCTAAAGACTAAACCTGTACAACCTTTTCATGATGAAATCAGGCCTGGCCTGGCTGAGCCTGGTACTTTATTTAAATTCGGCCTGAGTCTCTGATGGGTGCTCGTTGCACAAAAAGGTCCCTCGGCTTTTGTCTCAGTGTTGGAATTCAAGGCCGGCACTTAAAAAAGAAAGTCCACTGCATTCAAAACCCATGTCTAGACCCGTCTAAGGATGGAAAATGACTTCTCTGAGACAATTTAATCATGGTAGTTTCTGATACGGAAACGTTCCCTTCCCCTATGCACTCTACACATCTTTGTTCAGTTAAAATGAAATAAAATTAATTCATCTTTTAGAGGTTTGTGACATCCTTCAAAATAACAAGAGATATCCTAAGGAGTGGAAAAACAGACCGGAAAATCACTGACTTGAATAATAATGGCAGCGTGCAGCTTTTTGTTTTGTTTTGTTTTCATCTAGAAATCTTCATTTCCCAGGGTTTTTGAAACACGGATTTCTCTCAACCACTCACTCTTGTAAGAGTCCATACTTATAGGTACACAATTTCTTTAAGGCACGTATCTATTTAGTCATTAAGTTCCAGGTCCTTAAACACTCACAGTCACACAGCAATAAATCTTCCCTCTGAGCACACAGCCTGAGAGCGAGAAGTTAGGGGAAGGACGCGGGCCATGGAACAGCTATCCGCGGAGAAGGGCTGCAGAGTCTGGTCTTCCTGACTCCACGCCTCATGTAATTATGTGTTTCACGGCAGGCGCGCGGAGGCTCGGTCCCTTTGCCAAGTCAGCTATTCACATACTTTTTGGATATGGCATCAATTAAACTTGAGTTGTGTTCCTCATGACGACCAAATTAATGGTTTGACAGCGGCTTTCTCAACAAACACGGCAAACTGGCCATATTTGAAGGTTTTAAAAACCATTTCTTTTCTGTTCAAAATTCTGACAAACATGTCTCAAGTAAGACCGAGACAACTTCATTATCCTCCCACCACTTAATGCCTTTTTGTAAAGAAGGCTGTTTAATAACATGTCTCCTCTGTTTTCACAACTAAATTATTCCAGTTGGTCACACGTTCCACTCTTCGGCAAGACACTTGTGTTATGAGAGATAAAAACATGAAAAAGGAAATATATTGCAGAAATCAAAAGCCTTATCTACTTCTAGACTCTCTCTCTTTGCCATAATTCATTCAAGAAGGCCCCAAGAATAATTTTTGATGTAAACTCAGCTACAAACATACATCACTATGCTGATAAAAATCACAGGCTAAAACTTATGAAATATAGTGACTTTCATTTCTTTAGTGCTGTTAAAATAACTTTTTTCTAAGGTTCAACAGACACAAAAGATAAAAAGGGTTACCATTAATCCTTAAAAAAATAGAAGAAGAAGACCTGTAAAATTAATTCTGTGGTCTGATGATGGTCTCGAAGATGAACTTTTTAGATTAAATCACTGAATTAATTTGATGAAGATACTGGAAATCATAAAAAAAAAAAAAACAGCATCAAACCAATTCATTTACTACATCTTTCGGCATTTTACAGCACGGATTATGTTGAATAAATTTTAGTCGCTAAATTCTGGCCTCATTAGTTTAGTCTGAAGACTACAAATATTCATTGAAGACAACTCTGCAGACACTGGGGTACGGGCTTAGACCCAGAAACCAGTCCTTGGGTCTAATTTAGTGTGGGGATGGGGTGGGAGCAAGGGGCAGACCTCAAATAGATAAATATGGCATGACATGTGAAATATGTGCAAATTCCTGGGGGCAAAGTTATGGAGAGAGCCTGCCACGAGACCGGGATCTTGAAAAATGAGAGGGCTGGGGTGGGGAAGTGTGTGTGTTCACAAGTAGAGAGGCGGTCAGGTGGAGGTGTAAGCCAGCAGTGGGAACAAGAGAAGCAGCGAGTACAAGGTATGCTTGTGTGCAGGTAGTTTACAGGGACCACAGTTCAAGTTCAGGATGGGATCTTATGGGCTATGCCTTTGGAGAGGTCAGTTGGTGGTCAATGTCTATAAAGCTGTGCTGTTATTCCATGAGTCTGCGATTGTCATACCCCCTCCTTTTTTTTAAGCAGAAAGATTCTTTTAATCAAGTTGGTTTTTTAAATGTAGAATCCCAAAACAGAAAATAAAAAAGTTAGATTTCCTCTTGGTTAGGGTTAGGGCTAGACACACAAACACAAACACAAACACAAACACACACACACAGACACACACATATCCAAGATCCCTGAGAACCCACAATTCTGAGGAACACACTTTGAAAAGCACTGTGGTAGGGGGCAGGGACTTAGGAAGTGTTTTTTTGGAGCAGTGCACCTCTTTTTTCAGGAAAGTATCACAATTTCTAGATTTCTGGAGCCAGAATGAGAGATACAACACAGAATGATACACCAGTTCTGACAATAAGAAAGGAGACTTGCTGGATTGTCAGTAGTGAAATGCTGGGGCCCATGTCTGCTCTGCACCCCAAGGTATGGGGCTTGGCCTCACTCACAGAGATGTGCAATCATTACTTCTTGACTAACCAATTCCAAGGCCACTGAGAGAGGTGCTGGCACACCCCCTCGTCACTCCCTACTAGGCTGCTGTGCGACGTCCTTCACCTTTCAGAGTGAACCACAGCAGTGAACCTGGCAGTGAACATCCAGGTGTGAGTGTCAGGAAAACCCGAATCCTGTTTTAAGTTCTTCTCTTAACCTTTCCACTCCAGTGTTCCCTCACGCGACATGTGATTGCCTTTCACTTCTTAGAGACACGGAGAATTTACAAAATGTTACTTTTCAAATCATCCTGAGTTCTTGGGAAGAAAAATGCTGGAACAATGACATTTTTATTGGGTGACAAGCTAGAGTGAGGGATTAGGAAGATGTTTATCCAAAGGTGGAGGGACTCTGGCAGCCATGGGGCAAGGGTCTCAGAACAACAGACAGTTTTCTCTCCAGCTCCGTCTGGCAGCCATCTTGCAGAGTCCTGGCCTCACTGAGGTGACAACAGTGGGAAGGGGCAGGGGGGGATGGGCCTGGCTTACCCCTTTACCTTTTGAGAACCACTCACAGCCTTCTCCAGGCAGCTAAGTTTTCCCTCCTTGTCAAGGAGTTGAAAGGAGACAATGGGTCTGATGCCTTCAGGGACTCTGTGTTCTTTAGGTCCCCATGAGTGTTATCTCAAAAATGTGAACAGTTTTATAAATACTTGCTGCCCTTTACATTTCTTATTGCTCCTTTTCAGTATGTCATTGCTCATAACACTTATTCTCAAATTTAGTGGACACTGGGATAAGAGAGTAACAAATATTAGACGCTGAGATTATACTCCAAATGACCAGATCAGAACCCACTGGTAACTGTATTTATTCTAAGTAAGCTTCACAGGCAGTGAAGACATGTGCCAGACTTTGAGAACCACTGAAGGCCTTCTCTAGGCAACTAATGAACCCTTATATAGTTTAAACTGGTTTCTTCCAGGAAGGAATTCAGTGTGATCTGTGTCCTTTTTGCCCCTTGATGAGACCGAAGTCCTAAAAATGACTACTCTAAATGCCATACTGAATGAATTAACTGCAAAAAAGCAATATGCCAGAATATACAAGCAGACCATCTCCTCTGATCATTTAGCAGAGGAGTGCCGAGCCAGCAGTGATCTCTTCTGCAGGACCAGGCAGGAGTTTAATTACGAGCTGGTGGGTCATGCAGCTGCCAATAATCTGGAGGGTGTTGACACTTCTGGCATGATGGATATCTAAATCTAGCCTTTAGCTGCCACGGGAAATTCCCCAGCTTCCCTCGATCTGGTGAGGAAGGCAGGCAGGCAGGTCCCAGTCTGACTGGCCAATTTCCCCGAAAGGGAAGAGGAAGAGAACACAAAATGAAAAGGGGCTCTGGTGAGTACAAATTCCCAGTAGGAATCTGTTCCCCAAACCCCAAGCCCCAGGGCAGGGCTGCTAAGGTCAGGAGCTGGGTACTGGGGTTCTCAGCAGCCATCAAGGCTGAAAGTGATGCGGGCCCATGTCAGGCTCTGGGCACCATATTACAATCCCTCTCGATTAAAAGAAATTTCTGGTAATGAATTAAACAGACCCAAGGAAAAAAGGACATGGTGGCAATATATTCTCCTGGCACCCAGCACACAGAAGGGAAGAGGGGGAAGAGAGAAAGGAGACATAAATAAAAGGGACTACTCACTGGGGCTTTTTTCTTCAGCAAGGTCACAGGCACAGAGCAGGTCAGAATCGATTGAGATGGGTTTCTGCTTAATCCAAAACTTAGTGCTGGCTTTCTGATTCGTTACGGGATCTATCTCTACCTTGTCTCCAGAGATACCTGAAAGGCCGAAGGGAAGAGAAAAAAGAAGTCACACGAAGTGGAAGGTGTAAGTGGTTTCAGTGTAATCATTTGACCTGTTTTGTAAATCTTAAATTGGATGAACATAAGCTCTTTTTCAGGGCTTTGGGGAATGCGAGGGGCTTCTTAAGACAGACGGAAGGAGATTCCAAATGGCACGTAGCGATTACACAGTCTGCTTTCCTGGGTGGGTGAGTTGGGGGTGGTACTTCTAAAAAAATATGTAAAAAGGTATCAAGAAACATGTTTTTTAGCTATAACAAAGATGGAATATAGAATTTAGGGACATACTGTTACCCTTATATTACCTTTATATGGTAATGAAATGATCAGATTAGGGTTCATTAAATTTTTTTTTTGATTAGAGTTCATGTTTTTTTTTTTCCTGAACAAATGTGGGTGGGATAAGCCTGTAATATCACCCATACCTAAAAGGCTAGCCATCAACAAAGAGTTTCTGATCTGGAAAAATCTTACACACAAAAAAACCCAGGAAAAAAAAAATCTATCTCTTTCCTTTTCTAAGTAATTATCCAAATAATTAATTATTTGACACTAAATAATTATCCAAGCTAGATTTAAAGAAAGTCACAGGAGGATCAAAGGGTCTTTTACATAAAACCTTCCAAGTTCAAGGCTGTGGAGGTCACTGCTGCTCCACTGAGGGGGAACAGCACTGGGTGTGTGCTTTATGCAACAAAGACTTTTTAACAGAAACCTGGAGTGCTAAATGCTGGCCCATCAGGGTGCTCCTTCAGAACTGTGAAAACATAACACACTGTGCAGTGCCTGGGAGCAAAGGTGTCAGGAGAACAAAGGTGCCATGGGGTGGCTGGGGTGCTGGAATAACTGGCCAATCTCTGCATTGTCTCCCAGTTACTGGGAAGCGCACGCTCAGCCTGACACACACCAGGTAGGCTAAGTGCTCGCTTTCTCCTCGTCTGAAAATTGAGGAATCTGTTCATGAAGCAAGAAAACACTTTCAACATGCCTTCCAGAGTGGGCCCCAGATGGAATCTTAAAAGTAATTAATTTTTAGGCCATAGTTTGAAAGGTCAGGGTCAAAATGGAAAGGGGAAAAGAAGGGCAAAATGAAGCAGAGATATAAGAAAAAATGAAAACAATCAAAGGTACATCCTGCAAGAGGGAAGATAATCCAAATTACTAATGTAGTTCATTCTATGGATCACTCTCAGAAAATTTTCAATATAACGTACGAGAAAACTTAGTAGACAGAAGAAAATGCAGATAAAAGAAATGTTCAGTTAAAAACCCAAACCAAAAAAAAAAAAAAAAAAAAAAAACCCAAAAACATACAACCAGTTTGAGAGCAAATTTAAAATTACTGTACAAACACAAACAAAATTCCAGGGATCTGGTCTGCCACATATGCTATCCATTTCTACTTTATTTCTGAAAAGGGAATCCCAACAGCAGTTGGGCAAAGAGGGTGGCTGCACCCAGACCACGGTGGAGGCTGGTCTGCGCCTTCAGAGGGGACTACGCGGTGGCTTAGCCTGGGTCAGCACTGTGTGGTCTTTGGAAAAGACGAACAATTGGTATTTTTTTATTAATCGACTGTGAGAATTTGTCATTAGACATATTTCTGGGACACCGTATTTCAATTAGGCATAATGTCATCAGTGCAATTGACTTTGGACGCTCAGGTCTGGATGATTTCAGGAGGGCGAGGATGTATCAGGAGACCAATTTTATTACATTTCACTTCAAATAGATTACGACTACCCAGTTATACTCTTCCCTCCAATCTGGTCATTAATTGTTGAAGACCTGGACGTTGCTATAGTGCCCCGAAAGCGGGAAGGGACGGAAACCATGGTCATTGGTAGCAAGTGGCTTCCCACCCACCCCCTTCCTTGTGCTTCTTATTTTGACATTTATACAAGTCAAAACAAGCAGAGCCAAAAAAAATGTGCATATCTTCTGTGGAATAAACCCTGCCCCATATTTCTTTCTCAGAAAGAGAGGGGGAAAAATCATCACTGGAAAGACACAGTTTTAATGTTTTGTTCTACGGCCCTGCAACTCCTGAAGCTGTAGTCAGTCAATACTGTTAATGTACCTTGTTAATTTGATAGGATTTGTCAGGTAACTCCACTGGAAAATTATATAAAACTGTTCCAGATGAAAAGATGATAGTGACATGAATTAAAGTGATAGAACAATAGTGGAATATAAACCAGAAATGACACCCAAAGTGGCTGTTGATTTATTGCCGTACTGAGTTTGGTTCTGGGCTCCCATGTATATTAGTGCTACAAATCTGGGTCCATTTAGCAGAGGGACGCTCATACATACATCACCAGCTCCTGCTCCAAGCCAAGGTCACTCCCCATTGCATCAATCTTTTCAACAGAGCCTACTTCACAAAGCAGGACTTTTGTAACCATCTCAGATGTAACAGACTCTCGTCCTCTTTCATCTTTCTTTTATCATGTAAAGTACACTTTAACTTCTATTATTTTTATCTGCAAATTGTTACTGTATAGTTCATCCATTATGGGCCATATCTCAGCATCGATTGCCTAAGCTCTGCTCGGCCACAAGAACACTTTCCCAATGACGCCCTTTCCTGGGTCACCGTGCAGTCAGTGTTCACGGAGGGAACCCCGAGTCTGGGCTCTGGGGATAAAGATGTGGGGGATGAAAGCATTAGGTTCAAGACGGATGGGCAGGTGGAATACCACCTAAACAACTGGCGAGTTCCAAAAAAGTTGTGTGTAAATCAGATTTTTCCCCCCTGAATCAAATCACATTTTCCCAGTGACTTCTAGTTCCAGAGACACTTTATCTTCATTTTGAATTGATCTGTAATTGGCAGGGGCTCCGAACACTTTAGTTTTAAGTTTCTCTGCCCTGCAGGCTTTCAGTCAGGTAGTTAATGATCTGTAAAACACACGCCTGCCTAGAGGAGTCACTATTTAAAGGAACCTGTAGGGGAATCTTTCCTAATGGGGAAAATTCTTTTGTACATTAAATAATCTCGCCCTGCTTGAGAGGTGTGTGTGTGTCTCAAGCTTCTTAACGCAGGGCACAGGGTCACACAGGACACTACTGCTCTTGCAGGCCAAGCGACAGCCCAGGGAGTCCTGACGCCACCCAGGGTCAGAGCGCATTTTCCCCAGCATACCCAGACCCACTGCTGGAGACAGTTTGTAGAATCCAGACTAGAAGCAAGCAGAGACCTCTTCTGTGCCTGGCCTGGGAGTCCAAAGTCTCCTTCCTGATTGGAAGGAGGTAGCAGCACCGGAGGGGAGGAAAGCAGTGAAGAAGCTGTGCCACAGTCCAGCCCAGGGGCAAAGAAGGGCCCTGGTCACAGAGAAGGGTGTGAAAGGGGCAAAGCAGGTTAAAAGCAAAATACCAGGACTAGCAAATGACGGTGTGGGCCACATGGGAGAAGGGAAGAGACCAGGAGCTTGTGGAGGTCAGGTGGGGGTTGGGGAGGACTCAGCATGAGAGGCCAGCAGTGCACAGCTGCAAGCCACTTGCACAGCCACTTCTCCAGTGTAAGGCGAGTAGACAGGTCAGGGGGCCAGGGGCAGCACCATCTCCCAGGGATGGTAGAGTGCACAGAAGAGGTCTCCGTGCTCCCTGTGAATCATATTCCTCAATGCCAAAGGCCCAGAAAAAGAGGGAAGGAGAAACCCTAGGAGGCTCTCTGCAGTTCTTGCAGTAGCAGGCTCAGCACCAAGAATCATTTATTACTTTAAGTCTTACATGTATAATGCTAATTATAGATACCAAATAGATACTACCTATAGTAGTAACAACAACTGCTAACAATAACTGGCACCAGCTGTGTGCTAGCATAGCTAGAAATTCTGTGTATTGATTCACATCCTACAGCAACCGGATGATACTAGGTATATCCCCATTGCAGACAGGAGGAAACTGACACACAGGTTAGGTAACTTGCCTAAGATCACACAGTTAAAAAATGGCAACACTGTAATTTGAAGAAAATCAGGAAGTTAGGTTCTAGAATCTGTTCTCAGGGACTACCAATCTGCAAGAAGGGTGCTGGCTGTTTCACCCAACAGGCCTCAGGAGAGGGGCGTGTCTGAGGTTGGAGAGCTCTTAGGTGGAAAAGCCATTTTCACACCTGAGCTCTCTGGTTCCAGGTGCGGTCCTGTGTTCTGCTCTGCAGCGTCTCATTCAATTGTGTCAAGAAAACACCATGACGAACAAACTCCACCCAACCAGTTTTTAGTCTCCTCTCCCAACTTTCACCAAGGAACAAATAAGTGTTCAGATGTGCCAATAAATGCACATCTATTTTTGTCCACCCACAGCAAACTAGAGCATGAAATTCAATCAATATTCTTCATGGTTTTTTATTTCCTTTGCTCAAATGTTTGTGTAAGACCACTGAAGGAAAAGACACAGACACTCAGTGTCACCTATGCACTATTTTTAAATAATTCAAATTATAAACATAAGTCCAAGAAGACAAAGGAAGCTGACTTTTGTTAAGTTTACATTTCTTCAACTTAACTGGCCAACAACAGAGAAGCAGTTAATCCAACCATGATGGAATACAACACAGCCATGAACAATTATACATAAGAAAAGGTCTGACTTGGAAAAAGTCTCAGGATATGAAAAATATTTACAGAAAAGAGACTAAATGGGTAACATTCTGTGGTCAATTCTGATTTAGTGGAATTACATCTTTTCCTTTTCTATATTTTTTTCAATATAAAAATTTCACCAAAATTAAAAACAAACTTTTAAAAGCTGTCATTTTTTTTTTGACATCAGGATTCAGTTCGCTTTCCAAATTTTAAAATGAAGGGTAATGTCAAATTCTGTAATTGATAATAATGAAAGTGACCCCACACCAAAGACCACATCTCCTACCTAGCATTTCTCAAGGACCCAAGGGGCTGAGCTGCATCCCACCCATGCTGGTGTCACCCTGTCAGGGTGCTGGGCAGACTCCACCCTAGCAGCTATGG